CAGCACCTCCCTTCCCCCGTGTGTGTGTCCTCTCGTTCTCCTGTGCCCCGGGCCTGCTCCTCCGAGCCGCCGCCGCTGCTGCCTCCTCCTTCTCCTGCCCGCGCGGGGCGGCCGGGCTCAGCCTGTGCAGCCTCGCCCTGCACTGAGTGCCCGTTAGTGTCTCACTAAGTAACCGTGAGTGAAACCTTCATCATCTCTCCTCACTGAGGGACCCGACCCTCCTCCTCACCGAGCCGCCCCCAGAGCGGCTGTGCGCGCCGCCGCCGCCGCCACCTCCTCCTCCTCCCTCCGCACCACGGGCAGCGGCAGTGTCCTGCCTTCCTCCACCTCCCTCCTCACCACACCACAGCCAGCACAATGGCCTTTGAAAGCCTGTTCTCCAAACCCCCAAACCCAGTTCTTGACCCAAACATGCCCGACTCTGACAGGCAACATGCAGGGGACGAAAGGTCGAGTAACATTCTTCTCTCTCTCCGCTTCTCATAATGGTGATACTAGTGGGGTGATGATGATGCTGATAATGATGATGATGATGATGATGATGCTGTGTGTTAATGTGCCTAGGGGGTTAACGATGTTTTTGTGGGGGCAGGTCACGTTCAGGCTGGAAGACCGGGGTGAGGACTGGGGTGGTGGTGGGGGAATGCAAAGGAGGGGAGGTGGGGATGTCACTGAATTAGAAGTGCATTATTAGCAGGGTTTTTATTTTTTGGAATGCATGCGTTTTACATCTTCCTTTATTTATTCTGGCTGGGAAGGGGGACTGTTTTCCATTTCTTTCCATAAATTGCACTTTCCAGCGGGTGTCTGTTGAATGTCACCATTGTTCTTTTTCTCACATGCCCTGGCGCTGCTAGTCAGGTAGGAAAGGGTGCTTCGAGTTAGGGTGGGTTTTTTTTTGTTTTTTTTTTTTTTTTGTTCTTACAAGAATCTCTCACTAGATCCATATTTAATGTCATTTTCTTGCCAGATTACACCTTACACGTTTAACTGGATCTTTTTTTTATGCAGATTAAGGTCTGACTGACGTTATCTTTGCCACCTCTCAATCCCCATGCGCAGAAAACCAGAGTCCTGTTCCTGGTGAAAGGACCTCTGTTCCTCCCTCCCTTTCTCTCCTGCAGCTGCTGGAAATTCAAATCCTTTTTCCAGGCAGCCCTGGCCTTCCTAACTAGTTCCAAAAATACTGTGCCAGGGTGACAGTAACCAGTCCTTCAGTCTACATCTACTCACAGCATTTGTGACACAACTGCAGGAGTTAAAAATGCTGGTTTTCGACAGCTGGGCTTCAGTCTGTCCTCCCCACACAGCTCCACAACTGTGCTTGGTACTTGCATCAGAGGACTGAAAAAAAAGGAAAAAGGGCTTTTGAGCAAGTGTAACCGTTTCCTCACTGGAGGAAGAGTCACTAATTCTGTGTTACAAATTGGGAAGTGGAGGGCCACTGAAGCTGACTGACTGGTCCAAAAGTGGTACTGTGATTTAGTGACAGGTTCAGGGCAGACCCCAGAGCTACTGATCCTTGTTTTCACCTTCCTGCTTTTAATTGTGAAATAGTGCAAATTGTGTCATGCTGTATGTTCCCAAAAGAGTGCTGTGTAAAAAGCAAACTAGTAATCCACTGGGACTGCTGAAGGTAGGGCATAACTACTTACTAAAACTGCACAGCAGTAGCAGGCAAAGTGTTTGAGAGTTCCTAGGGTTAGTAAGTCTGTGACTTTTTACTGTTTCAGGGATTGAAAATACTTTGTGTTTTATAGTCCTCCTTGAGGACAAGCCCAAGTTACTCACTGTTCTGCTGGAAGCATGGTTTTTCTGACTTGGAGTTACTCATGCGATGCTGACAAGTAGAGTTCCTCTAACCAGCTGTTCTCACCAGTACGCCTGTTGTTACACTGGTAAATTATGAAATAGGATGAATAAGTACTACCTAATAGTCTAATATACTTTTAATACAGGTTAATTTATAAACATTGCTTTGTAACGTTTTAATTTCAGAAGAGCAGAAGACTAACAATAAACACATTTACCTGTTAAATAATAACTTTTTGTAAACGAGACTTATAAAACTTCTGCTCCCCTCTGGTCTGTGTATAGTAAAGTGTGTTCTTAATATGCCTGGCACATTGTTAAAAGAAAAAAAAAAAAGCCCCAAATAGAAGTCTTTGTATTGTGTTAGGTGTGCAGATGTAATCCTGTCAAAATGTAATATTTTAACTTTCTGAAGTTTATACAGATTTCCCTACCACCTGGTGACTGGGAAGGCCTGTAGAGAAACAGGGTCTTTCCCATCCACAGAAAACATGATTGACTCACCAGGGGTGGGGCAGCACAGCTTTAGCTATGAACGGTTTTTAGCACTGAAATGGTTTTGTCCAGTCTCTGTTGAAAAGCCAGTTGTAAGTTCTGTGGAAAAGCCGTCAGTACCTGGTACACTCGTATGCTGTTACCTTGAATGGGAGTCTCACTGTCATACTAGCTTGATGTTTTAAAACTAACACATCCAGTTTCAATACATTTTATCTTGCAGTCAATTTTTTGCTGCGTTAGTAGCTCAGTAGGACTAGTTTACTGTATGTACAGCCCATAATAGGAAACTACTGAAATAATTAAACAATTAGATCAATTTGTGCAGCATAAATTAATAGCATTTCTGTTAACATTTAGTTAGTTTGGTTTTGAACTGGTCTGTAGAATTATAAAGGAGTTAGTTAGTGGTTTTGAGCAGTAGAAAATCGTAAAAAACCTTGTCTGTCCATACTTCAAATATTCCAAGTTGGAAGACTGTTTTAATCCAGAGTCTTTGTTTTCTTGGTTTATAGATGGGGCAGCTGATTGAGGAAGGTTTCTCATTCTTTAAATATTTTTAGTTAACTCATTGTGGAGATGTTCCCTTGATGAAGTATTTGAGACTTTCTATACACACAGACAACAGATGTCTTCTTAAAAAGTTTTTCCTGAAGGTTAGGTTTTATTAAGCATTGCTTGCTATGTAGGAAATCTTTGATAGGGTAAGAAAGAAGTCCAAGGCAGAGTGCAGGCAGACTGAGTTACAGCAAATAAATACACAAGTGTGTGTAAATGTGCAAATTATTGCTCTCTTCCAGAGGTCAGGAAGGTCTGATTACTTGCGATAGTTTGTGGTTGCTGTTATCGTCATCCGAAGGACTGGGTGCTTTATGTTTCTCTTAAACTCTGTTTTGTAGGCATTCTCTCACCTGTACCTCGTGCTGTAGATGAGTGTACATCCCTAAGAGAAGAACTAAACACTTTGCACAAATATAAAAGAATTCAGTCCTCCTGCAGACTTCTGTAGGCTTTGATTTTCAGACTAATAGTGAGCTATTACAGGCATGAGAAGGACTTGTTTGCCGCAGCTGGTTCTGCATTTGAAATGGGTGCCGGATTTACAATTGCCAGGAACCTTATAAAATAACTTGGAGTTCATTTATTTTTAAAATCTAAGATGTTAGGTTGGTACTGATACTTTCTGTTGGCTATCTCTGCTTTACTGTCATTTAATCTCCAGACATGGAGATTTCTTATACCATTATCTGCTGTAAAAATAGCAGTGACCTAAGGATAGGTCTGAACATTGAGATGCTAACTCATGGATAACTGAGGTACAAGCAATGCTTCTGTAACCAACATGGTCTTAGGAATTGCATTGCAAGTGTGAGGCCCCTTTTTACATGCTCCTGGTACAATAAAGGACGTTCTACATTAGAGGCAGCTTTCCAACAGACACCCAAGTGGCCTGTGCAGAGTTTCTTTGGAAAATTGTCCTGATTTTTGCAGACAATGTTTGTAAATGCCACTTCAAAGCTGGGCTTGTCTGTTGCATTTCAGGTTCCTTTCCACAAGAACAATGCTAATCCTCATTGTACACTTTATGTATTTGATATAATTTTTACACTTTAAAAGGAAGTTGGTACAGTCACTTTCTTATTCAAGATTACCTGATGGGAATTTTACGAAGCATAGCTGAAGCATTGGATTATGTGAGTCTGCTCACTTCTCTTCCAGAGCCTCTCCTTTGCCAGCTATGTGTGTGTGGTGTACATCCAGATGGGCCAGGTGAACAGCCTGGCCACCTGAACAGCTACCCTTTTTAAAAATTTTATTTTGTTTTCCCAGTTTCCTCTTCCAGCTGTCTCAGGAATTGCCTGCTCCCTTTCAGTGCACCAGTTTTGCACTCCTGTCCTCGGCGAGCATGATTTACAGCTCTAACAGGTCTGTCTGGTTTGCCCTAATGGAGACCTGTTCTGCTAAATAACAGCCAGTGGCAAGTAAAGGGAAAAATACAAGTGGAGGATTGTAACCGAGACGAGTAACAGCAAATTGAAATCTGCATTATGTACCCAAGTTGGACATTTTCTCCGTTACTGCTTAGTCAGCATCACACTGCAGATGGCTTTGCCCGCGTCTTGTCTAGGTCCGCGCAGCTCCTCGGCTACGTGAAGCACCATAACGTTACAGATCAGGGAAGCATTTGTGGAGCAGAAGGGCTAAAGATCTCTAATCCGCAGCTGCTATTGTCCAGCCAGACTGCTCTCCCAGTCTCCCTTGCCACAAGGCATCCATCCATCTTTAGTTAAACATGATGGCTTAAATGCATCTCTTTTATTCTACCTGGTGCTTTAATACCCTCTGTCCACATGTGCGTAGTTTGGTTTGAAAATGTTTACTTACAGCTGGGTTTAGAGATTTGTTGTTGTTGTTAGTAATAGTTAACCACCAAAGAATGTGTTCATGTTAAGTTGAAGTTGTTTGTGATCACTGAATGCAGCCTTGTTGTGATTTATTGTTTTCGAGCATGATTTCAAAACTTGCTTTGGCATTAGGAGACTAGGAAGCGAAGAGATAATCACTCCCAAATATGCCCTGTGGGCAAACAAGGCTTTCTCACATCCAGCAAACATTGCAGGAGTGGGAAAAACGCAGTTGGCTGACATAGCTGTTACTCCTCATCCTCCTGGGGAGGAGGCGGAGGTGGTCTCTGTGAATTTCTGTAATTTCTTCTACAGTAATAAACCCCAGAGACTGGAGATGGTTAGGCAGCCGGGTGAGGAGGTGGGCTTTCCAAAAGTTGCTCATTGGCCTCCAGCGCTGCCACAGGAAGCTATTTTTTGGCATACCTCACTGCTGTCTTTCTCACTTCCTTCCCCCATTTTATGGGAAGACAGTATCTGTTAAAGCCAGCCCTGGGGATAAAAGCAAAACAGAGGTTAGAAAACCCAAGTAACCTTGTCTGTAACTTTTCACGATGCAGTTTTGCTGCCTGGCTGTAGATTAAAATACCTGCACATTTGCAGAGTGGTCAAAACTAATGGGGAGCTGAAAAGTACCTTTAAGTGATCTGCATAACATTGTCAAAGAAGGCAGTGCCGATTCTCAGTGGACAGCAGCTTGTTGTGTTAACTGCAAAAACACTTTATAGTTTTGTACT